ACCGCTCTTGCCAAATGTTTTGTGAAATCATCCAGTTTCAAAGATCTTGGTATTCTGGGGTACTATCTAAACTATCGGCTCCTTTATTTGTTTTTTCCTCTCATGTTACATCAACCTCCTTCCAGTGGCTACAGAGGAATAACTTGTGATTTCCAAGAGTATGCAGGCCAGTCAGAGTGGACTGTGGGCTCTACTGCACACAATAAATCAGATACCATCAGTTCCATCAGTTTCCAGGGGTTTGGTGCTTAACTGAAAGCAGCATCTGGTTCCAAAATAATAAGTACAGAACCAATGCATTTAGTTCCATTGAAACTATGGGTGTGTATTGCCTTCTATATTTAAGCACCATTAAATTATTTAATTCTTCACTTCTGAATTTCATTTCTTCCCCTTGGATTTTCTCCTTATAGGATCAATTTGCTGTCATTTAGATACCAAAGTCATTTCACGATTAGTGTTGGTGTCAGAACAAAATCAGAGAAATCAGATACCATTTTCAGTAGTGCCCAAATCACTTAGAAGCATTTAAGTTTCATTTTCAAAAGTGCTGTAGGCACATAGAAGTCCAAGTCTTGTAACTGTAAATGGACTTTACCTCCTAAGCCTCAGAGCACTTTTGAATACTTACTAGTACTTTAAAATGAAGCTTGTTCTTTCCAATGGCAGGTCTTCCTCTTCCTTTCAGTAGATTTAAAAATGAAATTTATAAATATTCCCACAGTTTCCGAAAGGACACTTTGATAAGCCAAACACAAAATCTCAACCTCAGAGCTAAGGAAGAAGGAGGATTTAAAGGTAGAAAGCTTCTACTTTTACACACACTCCTGTAGTCACCAGTTAGAGTTAGAAAAATAAATTTGCAGAAGAAACTAATCTCTTGCATAAACGCTACATAATCAACTTTGTCAAACGTATATTAAAATGACACAGCTGCATACTCACAGATCAGAAAATATCCCCTTCAAAATGAAGCATAAAACTGTCCTTTTATGTTGTACACCTTATAAAACCTCTCCTTGTTCTGTACACTATTTTTTCTACAGCAAAAGGTGCACATGTATACCGTATATCCATTTTTAATTCCTTTTGTTCTATGTCCATGCACATCCCAGGCAACATTAATAACAGACTTTCCCCTTACAGCTCACATTGTAACACTTTTATTGGAAGCCTGTTCTATCCATTCTCATTTAAACCAGCAGTGCAGCAATTTTCATGTTCAGCTAAAGGGATGACCAGGTGAACATAAGTTTGATCATGTTCTCATTGAAGTGCGTACCAAAACCTCACAACCATTTCAGTGAGAACTGGACTGTGCCGTACAAAGCAATTTCAGCTAGACTCAAACTCTGATTCAGCAAGCCACATCAGCATATCCCAAACTGCTTAGCTGAGTCAAGGCCGCAGTGCACAGCATGCTGTGCAGACTTTCTTTAGGGCAAGTCAGGACCTGAGGCAGTGAACTAGAGAGCTAGTTGACTTCCCTAGGAGCATGAGTGGACTGTAAATGCCAGAAAATGTTCCTGACATGATGGTTCTCTAAACACTAATGCATGTGCTTAGCTATACTATTCTGAGGGCCTCCACTGACTGCTGTCAGAGTGCTCGTGGTAGAACATGAAGTGCGTGCACAAGATTTTGCAGGATTGGGGCCCATTGCTCTGTGAGGCTTTATGTCCCCTCTAGTGTGTGCTGCCAGTTCAGTTTTCTGTCCTATGGAGTTTAGAATCTGAGCAAGTAACAGGATATTCTGCATGCACAGCTAATATAGAAGGAAAAACAGTAGGCTTTATAGAATCATAGAATAATTTAGTTCACAGGGAAAGGTTGGAGGTCTCTACTCCAACTCCCTGCTCAAAGCAGGGCCATTTTCAAAGACAGATAAGGTTGCTCTGGGCCTTGTACTATCAAGTTTTGAATGTCTCTAGAGGTGAAGACTCCCCAGGCTCTTTGGACAACCTAGTCAGGGCCCTAAGGGCACTACCAGGCCTTATTGGCCCTGCCCAGCCTCCCCTGGGGTGTCTCCCTTCCCTGCCCAGCCCCAGGTCCAGTCCAGGGCTGTCAGTCATTGCCCTATGACACAGTAGCAGTGCCAGTCTCCAGCCGCACCACAGCCCTGTCCGTGACCAACCGCGGGCCCCACTGATCTGGATCCCAACCCATGGGCCAACTGCCTAGCCCAGCCGGGCCTTGGTCTAGCCCTGTCACCACAGCCTTGCCCAGCCATCATGGGGCTGTATCTGGCCCTGGTTACCCTCACTAGGCCTGATCCAGACCTTGACCTGCAGGCTGACCACTTGGCCCAGGCTTGTTCCATTCCCGGCCTCCTGGACATGCTTCATGCCTAGGCCTGGGGCTGCCCCCAGCTGCCCCCTGGTGTGCTGTGCTCCCTTGTGGGGCAGTGGGACGGGTCTCAGCTGGTGAGACCCTGCCCTGCCAGTCCAGGGATCCTCAGCAGCTCCTGGCACCATGGTTCTCTAAGAGCAGCTGGCCCTTGCTGTGCCCTGACAAATCTGTCCCTGTGCTCCAATACACTTAGGATGATTTTTTTCTTTATATCAGGATGGAGTTTCCCTTGCTGCAGCTTGTGTCCATTGCCTCTCATCCTTTCATGGTGCACCTGTGGGAAGAATCTGCCTCCATCATCCCTATATCCCCCTTCTCCTCTCTTCTCCAGGCTGAACAAACCCACCTCCCTCCAGACCCCTGTCCATCTCAGTCACCCTCCACTGGACTCACTTGAGTTTGTCAGTCTTTCTCTCCTGTTGTGGGGGGGCTATACTGTTTTAGGATGCCTTTTCCGAGACACAACAAGGTCATAGTGTTTATATTCTGGCAGTATCAATTATTGATAAGCTTGCAGCTGAGAAAGCTATAAATTCACATTGCTATTTTTCAAAATCAGAGTTGTCAGGGCACGTGTTTTACATGAAGCATGAAGCATGAACTGAAGCAGGTAGTGTTAAATCCATATATCCAACCCAACTTTGAATGCTCAGCCCTGAAACTTGAGTATCCTTGCTCCCTTTATTTGGGAGCTGGCAGTGCCTAGAGGTTGTGCTTATCTGTTTGTTTGAAGCCTTTGAAGAAAAGAGCTTCACTTTCCAAGACTTTGTAGTCCTGCTGATGGGTATGTGTGGGCCAATTTTTAAAAAGGGAACAATCTGGCTAGTCACCAGACCTGTGTGAACACTGCTAGGTAGAGGAGCTGTTAGGGCAGCCTAGAGGCTAAAACATCCACCTAGCTCCATGGCTTATCCATCAAGATCCACCTTCGTTCAGCACTCCAGTGTTTCTGTGGACACTTCATGTGCAGGGCAGTGCACAGAGAGCACCATCTGGCGCGCACTTACCTGCGGTATGAGCAAAGCCCCATTTTCTGCACATCCTCCCAGATTCCATTTGCTCTTGCAGTTACAGCATCATGTAGAAATGACAACCTAGCATCCTCCCTTGCATGGCCCTGAGGCCATCCCAGGATGGGCTTTGTCACAGCTTACTGTGAGGGTAGTCAGGATCTTTAGGCAGTATGAGCTCAGGTGACCTGCAAAATGAAAACTGGATGCCAGTCCTGTAAGTGTCCCTGTACATAGAGGGCTCCCAAGGCTGGCCTGTCATCCCTATCTCCCTTCAGGGGATCCAGAGGAGAGAGATCTCTCCAAGAATTTGCAGCATTTGAAGCACAACAGTGTTGAAGCCCTTCCTTCCAACCTAACAAAGGACCTTATCCTTTGCCCCCTGAACTCTATATTCTGTAAGTGAGCCTCGGATGAACCCAAAATGCTCAGAAGCCTTCTTTAACCTCATGAGACATCCAGGATATTCCTCAAGACACAGGAAGACCCTGAGACTGCAAACATTAAGTGAACACCTTCAGTTACATATGTAAAGAACCATTAATCTCAGCGC